TATCTATCTATCTGACTATCTATCTATCTATCTATCATCTGACTATCTATCTATCTATCATCTGACTATCTATCTATCCATCCATCCATTCATCTATCTCTATCTATCTATCATCTGACTATCTGTCTATCGTTCTGTCGTTCTATCTATCTATATATCTATCTATCTATCTGTTTTCTTTCTGTAATATAGTTTTTCTGTCTCTCTGTTGGTTTTGTAGGAAATGATGTTAAGTGTTCATGCAGACGATGTGGAAGCAGCATGTATAAAGTGACGTTGTTCTTGTGGTCAAACAGAGTTGGATCGGGGCTGGCGTGGAGCGTCAGGAGCTGGTGGTGTTTTCTAGCGAGCGTGACTCGTGGGCTCAGGAGAGGAATCGTTTGGAGAAGTCTCTCCGTCAGGCCGAGGCAGAACTGAGCCGTCTGAGAGCAGAGATTATTCGCTCCGAAGCGCTGCGGGATCTGACCGCAGCCGATCTGGACAACACGGCCCTCAGGGTGAGCGTTAGCAACCAGTGATCCCTCTCATTGTTTTCTTGCTGAGCAAAACTTTTCTCTATTGGGCGGACGTTTTGGCCACCAGAGCAAAAACGTTCTTTACAGCGCGCACACAAAAAAGAGCGCAACTTTTAACTGTAACGTGCAATTTATATTTGATTTGACCATTGATGTAACTAAATGATGCACATTTTAGGTTACCAGAGAAAACATTTTTTTTACAGTGCTGTTACCAAGAAATTCTATTAAAAATATTTTTTTTTAAATCACCTAAATTCTTTATAATATTAGTGAGGTCAAACGATTAATCGCATCCAAACTAAAAGTTTTTGTTTACATAATATATGTGTGTGTATTGTGTATATTTATTATGTATATATAAAGACACACACATACAGCTTATATTTTGAAATAATTTTGCTTAATAAAATATAATACAATATAAAGAATATGAAAAAATGAAACAGATACCATTTATGTTACGACCCTCCTTTGGTTGTTAAGTGTCTAGGGACTAAGAAGGGGAACATTGGACCAGTTCAGACCAATACTAGCTTCACACTCGGTGTGTGAATGAAAGTAAACTAAGACTAGAGACTAAATCAAGCGAACTTGCTTTATTATTGAAGGCCGTGACAGTTGTTTACACAAGGCCAAAAAGAGAATAAGTATGTATATAAAAATAAAGGAAATTATGTACAAAGGAATAAGTCTTCAACGTCCGAGACGTCGTAATTCAACTTCACTAACTAACCAAACAAAAAATACAGAAAATGGCACAAATCCCTAACCTAGTGTGTCTAACAACAAAATCAAACTACATGTGCACCATGTAAGTCACGTGACATAACTTACCTACCCCTTTACCTCCGTCCAGTTTTAACACATTTTTGAAAAAGCTTTTTTAGGGCTTTCAAATGTCACAGATCAGGAGTTTCGGGCCAGCCAAGTAGGTAAGATATTTTACATGGCAATCAAAGCACATCACAAACTAAACACAAAAAGAAAATATCACAGCCCAAGTTCACAAAGCCGACTTTCGCGTACACTGGCGTTTCCCTTATATAGCACAGCTGGACGTCAATCAGCGAGCGCGATGGAAGAACAACCCCCTCCCACCATCAGACCCAATCAGCTCGTCCCGAATGATTGACAAGTGAGCCGACCAATCCGCACGTCACCTGAAAAAGTGAAAGTAAAAGGGATAGAGAGAGAACGCGACGGGAAAAACCAAGCAAAAGAACACAAAAACAAGAAAACACTCAAACGACAAGTCAGCGTCACATAGGGACGTAACAATTGGTCATGAATACGGTTTCATTTGAGTAAAACTAGCGTATATACACACAGAAATTTAAAAGTATGGACGGCAACCTGTCAAAATAAAAGTTTGGTTTAACTTGAAGAAATTGTTGCAGAAATATATTACTGTAATTCAGTAGAACGTAAGTAATACTGCTGCTACTGCTGTTGAAAAATTTATAGAAACTTTATTTTTTGAGGAATAATCACACAATATTTCTTCCATGTTTCAATTTGACTAGAAAAAATCAAATTTGTTTCATTTTCATATTTTATGTCTTCAGTTCATAACCAGAAAAAATTTAAATAAACAACACAGAATTTCAAAAGGCTATTGTAAGAATATATAAAAATAGTTTTTATGCATTCAAATAATTAGACATGCTAAAACAGAATTTGGTAACAACCGTAAGGTGTGAAAAAATAAAAAATTTCAAAGGGCCCTAAACATGTCATTTTTGTTAAACTTAATAAACTGATTTAAAATTATTAATTAAAATCATAAAACATATATGTGACCCTGGAGCACAAAAGCAGGTATATTTGTAGCAATAGCCAACAATACATTGTATGGGTCAAAATTATCCATTTTTCTTTTATGCCAAAAAACATTAGGATATTAAGTAAAGATCATGTTCCATGAAGATATTTTGTACATTTCCTACCGTAAATATATCAAAACTTAATGTTTGATTAGTAATATGCATTGCTAAGAACTTCATTTGAACAACTTTAAAGATGATTTTCTCAATATTTAGATTTTTTTGCACCCTCAGATTCCAGATTTTCAAATAGTTGTATCTCAGCCAAATATTGTCCGATCCTAACAAACCATACATCAATGGAAAGATTATTTATTCAGCTTTCAGATGATGTATAAATCTCAATTTACAAAAATTGACCCTTATGACTGGTTTTGTGCTCCAGGGTCACATATTAGACATGGTTTTTAATGAATAAATAATTAATTTTTTTTCACCGCCTGTCTGTCTCCACAGAGGATGTATGGGAAATACCTGCGTGCCGAGAGCTTCCGGAAGGCTCTGATCTATCAGAAAAAGTATCTTCTGCTGCTGCTGGGAGGATTTCAGGAGTGTGAGGAGGCCACGCTGTCTCTGATCGGCCGGATGGGCGGCTTCCCTGCACACACCTGTCTGGAGTCTGTGAGCCGTCAGCGCAGGGGCTTCACACGCTTCAGATCGGCCGCGCGCGTCTCCATCGCCCTCTCCAGGTACACACACACCTTCACACTTCACTAGGGATGTGACGATGAACCGCGAGCCGGGTAAAAATCGATTCAAATGTGTGACGATTCAAATCGGTTGAGATGCCAAACAAATCGCGGTACAGTTGGAGCAGGAGTTTATATGAATGTATCTCTGAAGGGAAATTACTGTCTTTAGAAAAGTTTGTGGTATTTTCTTTTCATCTTGCCTCTGAACGATGCATATTAAAGTAGTGTTCATAAGCGCAGCTCTGCTTTGTTTACAGCGGTAACCAAGGAAACACTGTATCATTGCTGTTCATAAGCGCCACCTGCTGTCAGAGAGTGAATCTGCGTCTCATTCAGTCTTTAAATTCTACGGTCGAGTCACGGAGTCTTCTGGCTTCAGCTTGATGTAACCGTATTATGGAGCGGACACTGATTGGCTGGTAATGCTGGATGAACGCTGTCTCCTGCAGGATGAGGTTTCTGGTGAAGCGATGGCAGAGAGCAGCTGGAGGAAGTGACACATCTCAGATTGTCAACAGAAACGGCCTCGCTCAGATCACAGGTGACAGTCTCACATTACAAACACACACAAATACTGTCTACTGTTGTGTTACTGCTTCATATCTTTGTTGATTAAACCGTGGTACATTTTATTTTTCAGGATTGTTTGGTGAATAGAAAGCATTAGGGATGTAACGATATTATCAATATCGTGATATCGCGATAGCAAAACTGTCTCGATATTATCGTGGTCACATGACGATATGAAACGATAGGTCTTCCGGGGCAAAAAGTGTAGTTTTTAAAATATATTTGTTTAAATCTCTTTCAAGTGTAGAAATTAGGAAAGAAGTATTGTAATTTTCCTACTGTAGTGTAAAGCGAAAATAATATACCTATTAACTTTAAAATTTACAATATTTTCTTTTTTTTTTAAATTTCGCAATAAATATCGCATTTTATATTACAGTATTATCGTACCGTGAGATTTTGATATCGTTACATCCCTAGAAAGCATTCATTTGAAATAGAAATCTGTTGTGACATTATAAATGTCTTTACTGTCACTTTTGATGAGTTTAGTGTGTCCCTGATGAATTAGAAGCATTAGTTTGTTGTGTTAAACATTGGCTGAAGGTGCGGATGTGAGGAACGAGTCGTCGTATCTTCACCCTTGCGGTGTGGAGGCGTTCAGAGAGAGACGAGCGAGCAGCCGCGGACGCACGGGACGAGACTCTCCTCGCTCCGCTGCATCGCTCCAGCACAGGTGCAAACAATCATCCATAATGTGTAAACATTTTGGCTGAGAAATCACCCCTAAAAGATCAGTCAGTACTGTGTTTGATGAGTATGGAGCCAGATCGGCCTCAAAAATAACACATTTGCAAAACAAAATTCATAAATGCACAGCACAATTTACATTTACAAAATCCGATTCGTAAATTCAAAACACAATTCAGTGTATTTATGAATTGTGTTTTGAATTTACGAATCGGATTTTGTAAATGTAAATTGTGCTGTGCATTTATGAATTTTGTTTTGCAAATGTGTTATTTTTGAGGCCGATCTGGCTCCATAGATGAGAGACGCATTGAATGGACATTACAAAAAGTAGCTTTAGAAAGAACTGTTTTGATTTAACATTGAAAGAATAATGCTAATAAATGGACATTAATGTTTTTTTAATGAATATTGAAATATGAAATGGAAAAAAGATCAAATGATTCTCTCAATATGAAACTAAAGTCACTTTTGTCATTGAGTCATTGAATCATTCATTCTGCTGATTCATTTAGAAACAAAGCAAGTGACTGCCTTTTTGAATGAGTCACTGAATCATTGACTTACTTGATTCGTCCAAACAGCTGATTCATTTAGAAACAAAGCAAGTGGCTGCCTTTTTGAATGAGTCACTGAATCATTGACTTACTCGATTCATTCAAACAGTTCATTCTTTCAGAAACGAATCAGTTGACTGTTTTTATGAATGAGTCACTGAATCATTGACTTACTTGATTCGTTCAAACAGCTGATTCATTTAGAAACAAAGCAAGTGACTGCCTTTTTGAATGAGTCACTGAATCATTGACTTACTCGATTCATTCAAACAGTTCATTCTTTCAGAAACTAATCAACTGACTGTCTTTATGAATGAGTCACTGAATCATTGACTTACTCTATTCATTTAAACAGCTGATTTATTTAGAAACAAAGCAAGTGACTGCCTTTTTGAATGAGTCACTGAATCATTGACTGACTTGATTCGTTCAAACAGCTGATTCATTTAGAAACAAAGCAAGTGCCTGCCTTTTTGAATGAGTCACTGAATCATTGACTTACTTGATTCGTTCAAACAGCTGATTTATTTATAAACAAATCAAGTGACCGTCTTTATGAATGAGTCACTGAATCATTTACTTACTTGATTCGTTCAAACAGCTGATTTATTTAGAAACAAATCAAGTGACCGTCTTTATGAATGAATCATTGAATCATTGACTCACTCATTTTGTACAGTTGTCTAAATTATTCAGAAACAAATCAAATGACCGTCTTTATGAATGAGTCACTGAATCATTGGCATACTCGATTCATTCAGACTGTTCATTCTTTCAGAAACAAATCAAATGACCGTCATTATGAATGAGTCACTGAATCATTGACTGGATTCGTTCAAACGGCTGATTCATTCAGAAATGAACTAAGTGATTCTTTTTATGAATGAGTCAGTCGTCCTGCATCATGTTCATCAGTGTAAGATGACGGACAGGTCTGGATGTGTTTTTGATGTTTGTGGCTGTAGGTTTCACTCGGCGGCCGGTGACGGCGGAGGTTTGCCGTGTTCACACCTGCAGAACTACGACCCCGACCGCGCTCTCACCGACTACATCTCTCGTCTGGAGGCTCTGCAGAGACGTCTGGGGAGTGTGCAGTCAGGTAACCACGGCAACATGCCTGTCACTTTAAATACTCCAGCTCGTTATAGAGACGGAACGCATTTAGGCCACGCCCACCAATCCAACGCTCTCCATTGACTCTGTATTGCGGGAAGCTGCCTCCTTGTCATTTCTGACTTATAACAAAAAACAGAACAATGTCTAAAAGCTGCTGTGTGACGATGTACAGCAAACAAGCTAAAATACCCAGAACTACACTTTTATAAGCTGTCGACCCAAAAAAAACGAGCATTTAAGGACACAAATAGTTAGATGCAGTGTTGGGAAGGTTACTTTGGAAATGTAATAGGTTACAGATTACAAGTTACCCTATTTAAAATGTAATAGTAGTGTAACTTTTTCAATTACTTTATTAAAGTAATGTAACTTACTACTTTTGATTACTTTTTGATTACTTTTCTAAATTTCTA